TCGGCCTCGGGGGGCCCTTACCGGGGCGGTGCAGGCACCTCCCGAAGTCCTCTGCGAAGGTGCGTCGGCGGAAGAGGAGGGGGGGAGGGGAGAAGAAGGAGGGGAAGGGACGGGACGGAGTGTCAGACGGTTTGGTGGAGGGGAGGAGAGGGAAGGACATGGTGATGATGATGACGACAATGATGATGATGCTGCTGATGATGACGATGATGATGCTGATGATATGATGAGGATGATGATAATGAGGATGAGGAGGAGGATGAGGATGAGGATGATACTGCTGATGATGCTGCTGCTTCTGATGATAACGATGATGACGATGATACAGATGGTGATGATGCTGATGCTGCTGCTGATGCTGATGCTGCTGCTGATGCTGATGCTGGTGATGATGCTGCTGCTGATGATGCTGATGATGATGAAGACGATGATGATGCTGATGGTGATGATGGTGGTGCTGCTGATGATGATGACGGTCATTATTATGATAATGCTGATGCTCATGCTGATGGTGATGCTGATGCTGATGATGAGGAGGATAATGGTTGACGATGATAATGAAGAGCCATGTTAATATGATGCTGCTGATGCTGATGCTGATGCTGATGCTGATGCTCATGATGATGATGACGACGATGATGATGATGACGATGATGATGATGATGATGATGATGATGATGATGATGATGATGATGATGATGATGATGATGATGATGATGATGATGATGATGATGATGATGATGATGATGATGATGATGATGATGATGATGATGATGATGATGATGATGATGATGATGATGATGATGATGATGATGATGGTGATGGTGGTGATTCTGGGGGCGGTGGTGGTGCTGGTGGTGATGGTGATGGTGGTGGTGACGGTGCTGATCACCGGTGATGATGAGGATGTTCGGGGCGTTGGTTAACCACCATTGTGCAGTTCGCCAAGGGCGAAGGCGGACACGATATGCAGAGGCCCTCTCCCCGCCAGCACCAGCCAACGACAAGAAGACGGCAGCGCAGCAGCCAACGCTGTGCGCACCAGTATCAGTAGCGCCCCGTTAAACAAGAAACGGGAGCTCGAGCGGCAGGGTGCGCAGTGCCGCCGACGCCAGGAGGTCTGCCGCCTCCTGCGCTGTGCCGAAGGCCTCTCCCACGAGCCCAGGGGACCCCTCACCAGCCCTATCTCGAGGAGTAACGCGAAATGAGCATTTGCCAACACGTCGATGATGTCTAGGTCCCGTATGAGCACCTGGCAGATCGTGAACGCCACGACCGCTAAGATCGACTCGGCGGAACGTAAGCATCAGGATGTTCTTGGGGCGGGCGTGCATGAGACCTCGAGGAAGCTCAGGACAAACTGAGAGGCCCGCCCAGCACCACCCAGCAAACAGTGTGCACGACACATGCCGTGGACCCCGTCGTGTCGGTGGTGTGGAGCAGCCTGGCGAACCAGAGGCGGGCGTGCAGGCGGGAGGCAGCGACGCAGCCCACGGTCAGCTGGACCACCATCATGGCCAGTCAAGCGGGCAGGGACTCGGCGCCCAACGCCTCCGGCCCCCCCCCTCCCCGCGAACACACCCGCTGAAGCCTTTCACAACGATGCAGCCAAAGGCGGCGACACCCACGAAGGCCGTGAGAGCAGGGCGGCGCATTCGCAGCTCCACGGGCCGCTGCAGACGTCCAGGGGCCCACCAGCGGGGCGGAGGATGCCGAAGGATGGGGGCCGAGGGCGCGCACTTACAGGCGACCTGATCAGGAGCACCTCGTCCGCGGCAGCGAGAGGAGCTCCTCCTCCGCCTCCTCCTCATCCGCCTCCTCATCTTCGTCCTCCTCCTCCTTCTCCTCCTCCTCCTCGGCCTCCTCCTCCTCTTCCTCCTCCTCCTCCTCCTCCCTGGAGGGCCCACCTCGGCCGACGTGCGGGCTTGGAGAGGACGACGCAAGTCGAATCACGCGCGGTGGCTTCCCTTTCCCATCTAGCGTGCAACATGCCGATCCAAATGTGGCACCTTTACGTGTACCACCGTGAAGCTATCGCTCTCCTCGCAGGTCTGCAGAACGGACGACGAGACGCCGCCGAGATCCAGCGTTGAACTCGTGAATGGCACTCGTCGGGAACACCATGTTCCTCGGACCTGGAGCCTGCGACCAAGGACACGGCAGCACTCCCTGGAGGGCGCTCGTCTGCTCGGCCGGCGAGGGCGGATCTGGGGGGCAGGGACGGGGGCACTGGACTGGGGGTGAGTGGACGAGTGCGAGGTCGGAGATGGGGAGGGGGGAGGAGCGAGGGGACCTTGGAGGCCTCAGCGCTCCCTGGAGGGCCCGCCTCGGCCGGCGTGCGGGTCCAGAGCGGACGCCGCGCGGCCTCAGAGGGCCCCGCCCGGAGCGCTCCTCGCGGCGCCCGGGGGGGGGGGGGGGGGGGGGGCTCGGCTGCGCGCAAGATCTGCCGCCGGAGGGACCTGGGTCGGCGGCGAGCCCAGGGGGGAAGTGAGCAGGGGAGGGCGGCTCGGGATGCCCCTGGCCTTCTGATAATCACCGAGCGCGTTCCACTGCTCGCAACGTTCCTGCTCGCAAACATCCGAGAAGCACATGTCTGCTTCGACGTAGTGGATCGTAAATCCCCCGCGGCGGATCCAGGCCACTTGCGATCAGTTACTCTGCGAGTAGTGGAGCGCGCTTGTCTAGATCTGTTTTCGAAGCCTTCCCTGAAGATTCAGGGAAACCTCTCAGAGGGCGCGAGGGCTTCTGAGGATAGCTCGGCCACCCTCTGAGAGGGCCTGCTCCTTCTCACTTCCCTCCCCGGGCGCGCTACCATCTTTGGTGCGGGCACACTGGGGTCCAGAGATGACCGAGCGCGATGCGATACAGTCAACCCGCTTGTCCTTGCATCCTTCCTCTTCGGCCCATTCTTGGCCGCTTTCACTGGCCGCGCCCCGCTTGCAAAGTGCCGACACGGCCTTCCAAGGCCCTTGCATCTTCCTCGTGCGTCCTTATTCTGCGGGTTGATCGTAGCAGCGTCTCGCGCGCTCGGGTTTCGCCGCCCGCCGGCCCCCGAAAGCCGCGGGCCCATGGCCACTCTTGTCGGTGGTGCAAAGATGGGGTCCTGAGGGATGGGGTCCGAAGGACGAGGTGCCTCGAGCAGTGTAAATCCCTACTTGGAGTGCTTCCTATCCTTTAGGGCCCCATCCCCCAGGGCCCCATCTCCGAACCACCGATCCTGCCTCGGGCCACTCTTGCGCGCAGGCGGCAGGAGGGGGCAGGGGAGGGCCGAAGCGAGGCGGGCTCCCCTCCCCCGAGGGTGCGCGGCTCTGCGAGCTGGGACGCCTCCCGTCGGGAGTTTCGTGCCCGTGTTCGATCGTCGTCGTCGTCGTCGTCGTCGTCGTCGTCGTCGTCGTCGTCGTCGTCCCTCCCGCCTGGAGGCCGCTTTGCACTCCGCGGTGCTGCACGCTTGTAGGGCGCTCCAGCCATCCTTCGGTAGCAAATCATGGGAGCCTGGTGCACCCTCTTGATTACGTCTTTAGCGTCGAAAGCGTCAATTAGCGTCTGGGAGTCGAAGAGATAGCGCCGATGTAGCGTCGGTTAGCGTCGATTGACGTCGATTTAGCGTCGATTAGCGTCGATTTAGCGTCGATTGCGTCGACTTGCAAGAGCCGACAAGATGGTATGGGAGGCTCCCATGAGTTGCCACCGAACCATGCGCGGCCCCCTTCCCCTTCCCCTTCCCTCAAGATGGAACACAATTGCCAGATATTATTTTTTTCACCAGAAATCAACGAATGAAGTTTCAGTGACGTGGGTGGACCTAGTCCAGTCGAGCGCCACTTAGCCTCCTGGGATTTATTTCAAGACACCCACGGAACCACAAAGACTACAGCAGCTCTGTTGTAGCTTGACCGCAACGTTCAGAGGAGGGCGAGTTGTGACAACGGTAGTCGGCCACGGCTGGACGCAGCTCGGAAACCTGGTGCGCTCGGACCCCAGGAGGAGTCCAGGAGCCGATTTTGAGCAGCCGTTGTCTCAAGTCGCCCTCCTCCGAACCCTGGATCCAGGGCGCCGCAGACCAAACCAGTCCAGCTCGCCTCCCGGGCGGCAGTTTCCCGCCCCTCGACCGTCGGCTGCACGTAAGCGTGGCCTTTCGCTGGAGTGACCTTTGCTTCGGGTCCACTGGGGCCCCCCGATCGCCGACTGCGATGCGATACCAGCGGCTTGCGCGCCTGGTGGTATCCCCCAAGGGCCCCCCCTTGGGACGCGCACCAAAGGTTCGAGCAGGGGATCGACCACAGAGTTGATTTTCCCCAAGTGGATTTTTCCGGCGGCTCTGCGAGACACAGGTTTTAATGTTCTGGAGGCCCACGGAGCACTCGGCGTCCTCTTCCCGCAGATTCCACGGAGCAGCTCCTTCCGGGGCAGCTCCGTCCTGCAGTCCATCCCCTCCTCGAAAGGCCACCCGCTGCCCGGGGCCGCTCCCGGCGTGCCGCCCGACCTCGGCGCCCGTGGGCGCACGGCTGCACCGCGCGGCCACCCCCGCCGTCCACGCCGCGTGGCTGGTGCTGCGCGGGCGGCGCCCACGGGCCGAGGGCCACGGCCGAGGGCCCCGCGTGCCGCGCCCGCCGTGCCGCGGGGCGTCGATGGCGGGGGTCGCCGCGGGGCTCTCGGCGGCCTCGGCGTGGAGGGCCCGCGACGAGGGCGTCGTCGTCCGTCGTCCGCCGTCAGGGCCTCGTCCGTCGTCCGCCCTCCGTCGTGGTCCGTCGGCGTCGTTGTCCGTCGTCCGCCGTCTGGCCTCGCCCGTCGTCCGTCTGTCCGTCCGTCTGTCGTCTGTCGTCGGTCGGTCGGTCGGCCGGCCGGCCGTCCGGTGGGTCGGTGGGTCGGTCGGGTTCCGCGTCCAAGTCTTCGGGGCTCTAGGCCTCACAGCTGTGCGGGGGCTGCTCGCATGCCC